CTTTTTTCTCACCGGGTAATTTTTTTCTTTATCTGTATTCTCCTTTTCTAATTTTTCCAGCCGACGTCTCTCCTTCTGTCTCTATTTGCAGTTCAGAAAAATACAGCTGAACAAAATATTCACTTACGTTTTTCAGATAAAGACACTTTTTTCATTTATGCCCTCACCATCCTTTTCTGTTTTTTCTTCTCTGCCTTTTTCTTAAGTTTTTCTTCTTCATCCACTAGCTCTTTTGCATTTCTTTCTGCTTCCTAAAATAAAAAAAGTTGAATAATTTTTTTTAAATCTTACAAAACAAAATAATGATTGAGTCACAGGTGTTTGACACAAACCTCAGCTGTTAAGTGTCTGGATGGTTTTGGCAGACTTCTTTCAAGGAAGTTGCGAGAAAAGCCACAGTATCTGTTGTTTGTACGGATGGCATACCGATCGTCATCATCATCATAATAATAATCCTCATCAGATGAACCTTCGTACCCTGTAAACTGAGCTGCTAACCGGTCCAATTCTGGAACTTTAATACAAAAACAATTTGCTTAAATATCACAAAAACGTAACAGTAAATATTATATTGTGCTCCGGTTATTATCTTTTACCTTGAAGGAGTAGTTCACCCAAAAACGAAAATTTGCTGAAATTTAAATCTAATACATAGATGAGTTTGCTTCGTCATAACAGATTTGGAGAAATTTTGCATTATATCACTTGCTCAGCAATGTTTGCTCTGCAGTGAATGGGTGCCACCAGAATGAGAGTCCAAACAGCTGATAAAAACATCACAGTACCCCACCCGACTCCAGTCCATCAGTTAATATCTTGTGAACACAAAAGCTGCATGTTTGAAAGAAACAAATCAATCGAGTCTATAATCCATAATAAGGCATCCTCCAGTGAATAAGTCCATTCCCCTGTTGTCCTCTTGTTGTAGAATACCTTCTTTATTTCAAAAATCTCAAGTCAAGGAGTTCTATATGCAAAAAAATCTGACTTTATTGGTCAAGACAACAAAGCTGAGATGCCTGCAGAACCTCGAACAATCTCAAACGCAGATCCTCTCTTATACGGTTCATAACCAATTACCTCATTTGCAAGCGTTCTTCTACTTTTCTTTTTTGGGTCATCCCCAATCTCTCACCACAAGTATTTTCCCTATCCTGTGGATTTCTTTTTAATGGTAGTACACATAAAATTATTATTTTTTTAATGGTTATATTATACTTCAAGGTTCCTTAATAGAAAATTCAAAAATAATTTATGTAGACGTAACATCCATGTATACGCTCACATCAAAATCCAGCAACATATTTGTCTAGAACCGTTTTTGCTTGTAAACAGTGCTTGATCTGTGCATATTTCTCTCCAAATTCAGAAGAGATGACTTTTTCATTGGAGAAAGCAATACGATGGGTAGAGGACTCTTTTTAAGTCCATTCCCCTGTTGTCCTCTTGTTGTAGAATACCTTCTTTATTTCAAAAATCTCAAGTCAAGGAGTTCTATATGCAAAAAAATCAGACTTTATTGGTCAAGACAACAAAGCTGAGATGCCTGCAGAACCTCGAACAATCTCAAACGCAGATCCTCTCTTATACGGTTCATAACCAATTACCTCATTTGCAACCGTTCTTCTACTTTTCTTTTTTGGGTCATCCCCAATCTCTCACCACAAGTATTTTCCCTATCCTGTGGATTTCTTTTTAATGGTAGTACACATAAAATTATTTTTTTTTTAATGGTTATATTATACTTCAAGGTTCCTTAATAGAAAATTCAAAAATAATTTATGTAGACGTAACATCCATGTATACGCTCACATCAAAATCCAGCAACATATTTGTCTAGAACCGTTTTTGCTTGTAAACAGTGCTTGATCTGTGCATATTTCTCTCCAAATTCAGAAGAGATGACTTTTTCATTGGAGAAAGCAATACGATGGGTAGAGGACTCTTTTTCAGCCGGAAGCAACGGTTTGAAGTTAAAAAAAAAATGTCTTGATGGATTTATTACAAACAAACAACTTTTCACTTCACAAGACATTAATTGATGGACTGAAGTCGTGTGCATTACTTGAGAATTCAAACATTCTGACGGCACCCATTCACTGCAGAGAATCCAATTGTGAGCAAGCACGCATGAACTAAATCTGTTCTGAAGAAACAATTTTTCCGTTTTGAGTTAACTATTCCTTTAAATGTATTAAGAATTATAAGAACTTTATTAATACCATAGGAACTCCAATATCCAAAGAAAATAAGTTTATAAATCATGCAGCCTGTTAGTCTTGAATATTTCAGTCTGTGTTGCTGAACCAAACAGAGTATATATATATATATATGTTCAAGTTCACGTAAAGCTTGAGAGCACTAGAACAAGCACAATATTAGGAGTAGATTTAAATTCCAACTATATATATATAACTATTCCAACTATAAATTATTCTAAACCTGCTCTACAACAGGTTTGAATTAAGTGACCATGGATGACTACTGGGGCGTGTGCCAAGAAGATAAAACATGTCTTACCAAACCCATAACCAAAACTTAAGGCATCTAAAAAGCTGTGGTTTGTAGGTCTATCATTTATAAAATCGACCACTGCCTCCTAAAAAAAAAACAGCACAGAACATAGTAGTTATAGACTAAAACCTACACACACCAGATTAACAAAGATAATGCTGATTCATCTCATGAATGAATTCGCAGAAACGTAATGACTTACGTGAGTCCGCATGAGGCGCTCATCATCACGCAGCCGGAAGTACTCTAAAAGAGTCATTGGACAAACATATTTTAAAGTTTGAACACACCTTACATAGACGGAGACACACAGATAGTGAATTGTGTGGCATAATCCTGAATATGTCATCAAAGCATGACTGGTCCTTCGTGTACTACTAAAATGAGTTTGTAATAAAAATACACTAGATTCACAAGACAGCATGACTATAACAAGAAATGGCTAACTCTTTCACAAATTCTGCACCATTGTCAAGCACGTATTGTTAAACGACACGTCTTCTCTATTGTTATTAGAGCTACATGTGCTTGGCGAGCAGGCGAAGTTTTGGTAGACGACATTTAAAAAAAAAAAAAAAAAAAAATCAGAGCAATAAATTACCTGGTCCTATGGTGTTCTTTCTTGACATTTTAGCGAATATATTTATATATGAAACCAAGTAATTCTAAATTATAAAATATTTAAGTAACTTCCAAATGGTTTAACATTCCTTCCAAACGTAGTGTTTTCTCGAGATTCTTCTCCACCTCTGCACACAGCGCGCACTCACACGCATGCGCAGATATGCGTCGAACGCTCAACGTGCCCCACGTGGTGCGAGAGAAATATCTTTACATTGAAATAAAAAAAGACGAGTGCGTTTATAATATCATATTGTGAAAAATATTCGTTCGTCTGTCAAATCGAACCCAGGCTATGTACTTTAATGTAAACACTTTCCCCCGCTCTGGGTTTGCATGTTAATTATATGTCTTACTGATAAACAATTGATGGAAATTATTACAATTCTAAAAGAATAGGCAAGATAGGTATAGATTCAGATAATGTATGTAAGCCTTAAGAAAGTGCAAGAAAATGTAAAAACTGGAATAATATAATTTCACTGAAAGTCAGCTTATTAACGGCCATTTTAAAATGTAAACATCGTTGGTGAAGAGTTTAAGGTAATTTGGGACTTTTAAATTTGAGCTTTAAAGCACTCATTCATAATGTTTGTTTCAAACATCAAATGACGTTAGCCACATAAATCCAGTGCAGCTTGAACCATTAGATTTCTGGTTATGTCGAGAAACAACAAAGGGGAAAAAACACTCTGCGGCAATGTATAAATAGGGTTTAGTACTTTCCGTACCCTAACATCCCGCGCAGCTCTGCGGGCTCTTCTTGTTGCCATAGCAACAGCGTAATTTTTGTTCTGAACGCAAATGTTGTCAGCTAAACCGCTGCGGCTAGGACATTTTTCTGTTGAACAGAATGCTTAGAGAAAGTTCCGTTAGCTTAAGATAACTCAGTACATTTTGTTATTGGTACTGTTTTACATACCAGTTACACACGTGTTTATATTTCTTCACTCTCACTGTTAATTCAAACTCCGGTTATTTCAAACAAGTGCGCATGCGCCTTAACGTCTGCGTCAGTAACGACATGGATTCAGAGGGCTGTGCTGCAGACGTAAACAATGTAAGTAGATGGAAATTGCGGTCTCGTAATAAAAGTAGAAATATGGCTTAATTGCGTGTTTTTGATTCTGGAATGTGCGAGCCTGCGATATAATTCCTACATGAGTAACGTTAGCTAATCGGGATAACCTTGTAGCGACTATCACTGCATGGCAACAAGTGAGCAGTGTTCAAAGTTAGCGCTAATGGCTGTGCAATGACTTGATGGCAGTGAATGTATGATTATTATTTTATATAGTTAACATCGAACCAAAGGCACGAAAGCATACTTGGATGAACTTTAAAAAAAAAAATCATCTTTGTATTTCTTTGGCTAATCACTTGCTAACTTAGCTAGGTCAGGCTTATTGGCGGGTAGCAGTTCTTCACTGCAGGACTTAACAGTTTTATATATATTTTTTGGTCATGTGTACTTGATGGCAGAAGTACACGTACAGACACTTGCATACATGATGCTTTGATACATGTGTCGTTCATGTATTCCTAATGATTCAGGTACAAACCCGATTCCAAAAAAGTTGGGACACTGTACAAATTGTGAATAAAAATAGAATGCAATGTGGAAGTTTCAAATTTCAATATTTTATTCAGAATACAACATAGATGACATATCAAATGTTTAAACTGAGAAAATGTATCATTTTAAGGGAAAAATAAGTTGATTTTAAATTTCATGGCATCAACACATCTCAAAAAAGTTGGGACAAGGCCATGTTTACCACTGTGTGGCATCCCCTCTTCTTTTTATAACAGTCTGCAAACGTCTGGGGACTGAGGAGACAAGTTGCTCAAGTTTAAGAATAGGAATGTTGTCCCATTCTTGTCTAATACCATACACAGATCCTGACAATGGTGAAAGACCATTTAGTAACACTCAGGATTCAAGCATGCAGCCACTCATAGACAGATCTGAGACTTTACAACTGGGTACAGAGAGCAGGTGTTTTTATACAGTGGGCTTCAAAGATCTAAAGTCATTGAAAATCTGGGATTCCAATTTAAAACTAAATAAACAATGTGTTTGGATTTTGGAAAAAAAATTTTTTTGGATGTTTGAAATTCACTGTACATTACTTCATGGCAAAAGCATTTTAGCTCCTATATGTTTTTTTTTATTATTATTATTTTTATTATTAGACATTTATTATATATAATTTATAATTATTTAATTGATTTTCTTTTTCAGAGTTTCAGGATAGCCAGTTGTCACCTGCACTTACCCTGCATCCCTGCCTGGACAAATCTCACCTTCTTTCTGACTCCACATTTTTTCAGCATAAAGATGCAGAATTTGTCCCTCTTCGGTACTGTTTGATTAGTCATGTTCAAATTTTTCTTCACCTTTTTGTATTTTTAGATAATATTTTCTCTATTGTTTTTGTGCACACAGGGGATTTCCTGACTTCTCAGTTATGACTGAGAGATGCACCAGGACTTCAAATGTAGCTCTAACTGATGATTCCCACCACCAAAATACTATTCTTGACCAGGCTGCACTTTCCCAGCATCCATTGGAGGTACCAACAGCCCCGTCAGGTGAAAAAAGCTGCTGTTCTCTCTCCCAGCACAGCCTGTCACCTGGAGACCATTGCAAAGGGCTTGAGGATCAAGGGAGCATTTCTTATGGTGCTGAGGACAAAATCAGCAGACATATGGAAGGAGAGGAGCAGACCACTGCTCAGCAGCTTAGTGAGGGAATGTCTACTCGGCTCTTGTTAGAGTCCAGGGAAGAGGATGTTATTGTGGCTGTTAGTGACAGCAGTGCCGTTTCCTCCACCTCTGAACCTGCCTCACTTCACCAAAACACAGACAAAAGCCAGTTAGATCCTTCCATGAATCTTCAAAAAGGCAGGGAGCAGCACCAAGGGGGCCCATTATCATCTTCATTTCAGAAGGCTGCAGATGTTTCAAATATAACTTTTCGTGATTCACGGATGCATTCACACCAAACAACTGACCATCTCCATGATCAGCTTCTGTCTGCAGGACAAAGAGGCTCCATCTCGGCACCAGCAAGTAGGCACCAAAGTGGGAACAAAAGCTCTCATAGTGGAATATGTGTCACACCAGCTGGTGAAGGTTTGTTGCATGTACCAGGTCTTCAGAGAGTGCTCTGGAGCTCCGGTCATCTAACAGCAGCAGATGGTTCATTCTTGAGCTCTCAGCCTGTGTCTCAGTCCACACCTGCACTACCTCTCATGAGACCCCCACCAGCATTGACCAAACTCTCACTCATACACTCCAAACAAGAGGCTGTTGCTTCTGCGGCTACATCCTCCCAAAACAGTCACTCCAAAACTGGCTTAATTCCATCGTTGAACCTAAGCGATCAACGTTCCTCTGCCATTCACTCTCAAACAACAGCTACAGTTCCTAGTGTACCTTCAGAGACTGCGCAAACAATGTCACATGCCCATCCCATTTCAAACGAACAAGTTCCTCCTCCTGTTTTAAATCCACACTCTGATACACCTCACTCCGACACTCAGCACTTTTACTCTAGTGCAGAGATGAAAGATCAGGTTCCTCGTTTGGCGCTTGGGAGAGTACATTCTCTTCCCAGTCTGAGCTACTTACAGAAAGTAGATGCCTGGAAAGCCAATCAAAGTTCTAGCAGGTCGTTTTATGATAATTTGGCACAACAGGGGTTTGATGGTGTGTCGCCCAAGAAAAAAGCACAGGATGTTGTTTCTGAAGCACTTAACCACAAGCTTTCTCGAGACACGCGTCTGATATTTGGTGCTAATCCCAGCTCCCAGATGATTCAGCCACTTTCCTCTTCTCATTCTGGAAGTGGCTCACCCCGTCGGGTGGATGTAGTTGGGACGGGTGCGTGCAGAGGACAAGCATCACCTGTCAATCGCTCACACTCTCACTCCTCCCTGAGCTCTGTGGTGACCTCTATTCAGAGAGACACTGGTCCACACAATCAGCAAATTCCAGTAGCACAATTTAATAACATCATTCCAGCTACCAGATCATTGGACTATCAGTCGTCCTTCATTTCAGGTGTAAGGGGTGAAGGAAAAAATAGCTCAGCTTCTCACATGGATAAAAGCTCAGTCAAGATGTCTCCTTTCCTCAGTCTGGGGCGCTTCAGTGACGTGTCATCAAACCTCAACATGAGCAGCACTCTCTCAAGCTCTCAAGGCAGCTGCCATGGTGAGCAGAGTATGCGGGCATCAGTGGGAGCCGCCTCTTCAGTAGTGAGTCTTGAAGTAGATAATTATGCACCCTACTGGACCTCCAGACCTGCATCCCCTCCTCACACTAGGGAACTCAACATTGAAGACAGGATCCCTGTAAGTTCACAGTGCTCTAGAAGATCTTGTAGGATGCATTTAAATTCGGCATTAAATGAAATTCCCTTTCTGTTAGGGCTGCACGATAAATCGCATGCGATTGTCATGCGCATCTCGTCAGTAAAGCCGATTCTGTGATTAGTAGTAAATCTCCATCACGTGCTTTCAGATGGAGCGGCATTTACTACACAGAGCCGTAGTTCACTGACAAGCTACACAATATCGCGTTCATAATCAAAGGTGATTCATCTGCGATTATGAACGCGATATTGCGTAGCTCAATCAGGGTGATTTTTGTAATTAGTTTTTCTACCCTGATAGATATTCAGTAAAGCCGATTCTGTGATTAGTAGTAAATCTCCATCACGTGCTTTCAGATGGAGCGGCATTTACTACACAGAGCCGTAGTTCACTGACAAGCTACACAATATCGCGTTCATAATCAAAGGTGATTCATCTGCGATTATGAACGCGATATTGCGTAGCTCAATCAGGTTTTGTTCGATCACTAATTTTGTAATTAGTTTTTCTACCCTGATAGATATTTTATTATTCTGTTTTATGTATTTTTGTTTTATAGTTGTACCTTTTAAATTTGGGTATTGACCAGTCACCTTCAACAATCTTAAATCCATTTACTCATCGCGGACCAATCAGAGAGCCTGAATTCTCTCCTACTGACTTATGTACCATCAAAGGCTCCATAGGAACACCAACTAAAAGCACACAGCCATCTGAAGGTGAGCTAAAGACGTCTGACATCTTTGTGCATTTACATTTAGTCATTTAGCGGACACTTTTATCCAAAGCGACTTACAAATGAGGACAATAGAAGCAATCAAAAACCATCAAAAGAGCAATAATATGTAAGTGCTGTGACAAGTCTCAGTTAGCCTAACGCAGTACACGTAGCAAGGTTTTTTTTATATTATCAAGAAAACAAGTAGATAGAATAGAAAAATAATAGGGAACCCTTTTGTTAGAGGGTCGTTTTTAATAAAAATAAAACATGTCAAAATAATAGAGAATGCTGCTAGTGTTAGAGGGTGCCCTGTTAAAGTTATTGAGTTAAGATATTGTTGGCTTCATTTGTATAATGTATCTGGTCATATTATAATGATGTGTTTTGTTTTCTGTGTATATAGTTGACAGTCTTCAGAAGGAGACATTCTCCAGTTCTAGTCAGCTCTCAGCTGACTCCAGTGCTTCTGTCACACACCGATTGTCAGTGCATGAGCAAGGCCAACCAGCCAGTGACAGAACTGTGAAGAAGATGTTCAGCCAGGTGGATACTCGACTACAACAGTCTGATGCTCCACAAAGTGAAGGAAGCTTTGATCTTCCTAGCCAAATCAGCTCAGAATCCATGCCTCCTCCAGGTCCCAGAGAGGTGGTAAAGGAGGATGATGACTCTTTTGTTGGCTCTGGCACACTGCGTGAAATCAGACGTCTGCTGGGCCGGGCAGAAAGCCTGGTTTCTGGTCGATCCTCTCTAACTTCCTCTCCCGGCTCACACTGCCTCTCAGAGAGTGACACATCCCTTGTTTCACTAGGACGGAACATTCAAGGTTATCATGATGACACATCTCTGTCAGCTGGTGGGAATCTTTCTTTGCTGCTAACTCGCTCTTCTTCAGATTCAGCTTTGAAAGGAAGCTTGTCATCCTCCCAAAGGCCTCAACAGATTGACCACACAACTATAGAGCCTACCGCTCTCTCTTTGAGCAGAGAGGAAAGTTTGAAGTCACGTGACCTCTGTGTGACCCCAAGGCGGGCTGAACCTGAAGGCTGCAGTGCTGCAGACCAAGATAAGGCAAAGCAACCTACAGTCACATCTGCCATGCAGATAAATGTTCCTTCGATAGCAGAAAACCAGGACCAGACTGAGGATGCTGTGATTGGCTCTTCTGAGAATAATTCGTCTCATGTCTCAGCTGAGGTTGAAAGTATGAGTGACAGTAGCAGCGAGAGTTCATTGGCTGCCAGAGTTGCCAAGCTCCTGCAGAGTGAGTCACCCGTTTCAATGGTTACAAGCCGGCCAAGCACCAGTGATCCAGAAGATAGCTGTGCACGAGGTAAACTCAGTGATTTGTCTAAAAGGACGTTTAGTCATACACGTTTTGTCAGTACCAGTGGTGCTTTTCTTAAGTTGTCAGTGGTTTTTACTTTGTGGATAACTGGATTTGGTCTGTCTCTTTAGAATGGATCCTGATGAAGGTTTTTGGCCGCCGATGTGAAAGCTTAGAACTAAACGCTGAGGACAGACAGAGAATTGAAGACATCAAAAGAGAGCTTCTACTGAACACCAAGGTAACATACATACGCCAGCACAGAAAGGTCTGCCAATTTCATTAGTTTCATTCAATTTCAGCATTTTTTACTGACTTGCTGATGTAGGTCGATCTGTCTGCCAAACTTTTGACATCTCAAAGAAATATCACCAGGAATGTGCAATAAACTGGCACTGTATTGGTTTAAAATTTTTATTTGGTGTTGGTCGATATTGGATATTTAATTGTGCATGCTCAGTTCAGGTAATTTTTAATAACACTTAAAATTTAACCCTGTGAAGGCTAACATTAAATAATTGTAAGAATTTTTTTGTTTATTGAGCCTTCAGGCAAAAGATACAAAAACATGAGGCTTTTATGTCTTATATAGTATGGTATAGGAGATTATGGAGCTCATACTCACAAGGAGGAAGAAAACACCTCAATTTTATTCGGAGGCTCAAACTAAGCAAAAATATAAAATTTGGTGCAGTTGCTGATATTTATATGGCCAAAAAGTAAGATGAAAATCTGATAGCTTGTAAATTTGTGAGATCTTTAAAACAGTATAGCAGAATACTTATGTAAGGTCCATGAATTGGCCCAAGGGAGGTATCCAATGGTGAATGAAGGTTTCCTGCGTGCTCGTTTTTTTTTAGTGTGCAAAGTTATTAAATTTAGGTTAAATTCAAATCTGACTCCATTTCATTATTTAATCTGACTCCTTTTTATTATGACCTCGAATTTAGGTTGAAATGCAAATTGGTTGTTTGTCTGTTTCTAATTAGTATTCTTCTGACATTTGATTATTCTAGTTAACTCTTTACTTTACATTTACTCATTTATTAGGAATCTATGTCGCTCAGGGTGTATCACGCCGGCCAATACACGTGTACCCAACGATCACAAACTCTCCAGTCTGATCATTAGTCAGAGGTTATGACTAACTATTTAAAGGGATAGTTTACCCAAAAATAAAAAATTCTGTCATTAATTACTCACCCTCATGTTGTTTCAAACCCGTAAGACCTTCGTTCATCTTCGGAACACAAATTACGATAATTTTGATGGAATCTAAGAGCTGTCTGACCCTGCATAGACAGCAACGCAACTGAAATGTTCCCAAGTCCAGAGATTTAGCAAGGAGATCGGTAAAATAATCCATGTGACATCAGGGGCTCAACTGCAATTTTACGAAGCTACGAGAATACTTTTTGTGTGCAAAAGAAAAAAAAACAACTTTATTCAACAATTCGTCTCCTCCGCGTCCCCCTATAGCGCCATTTTGGAGAGTATCCGCTGGACGTAAACAGCGTATGCTGTTCTGTGTCAGCTGCGTCACATGGATTATTTTACAGATCTCCTTGCTACGTTTCTGGACTTGGGAACATTTCAGTTGTATTGCTGTCTATGCCGGGTCAGACAGCTCTCAGATTCCATCAAAAATATCTTAATTTGTGTTCCGAAGATGAACCAAGGTCTTACAGGTTTGAAACGACATGAGGGTGAGTAATTAAAGGGTTAGTTCACCCAAAAAATTAGGCTGTGTTCAACCCCGAGGCATCCTAGGTGTATATAACTTACTTCTTTCAGACGAATTCAGTCGGAGTTAGATAAAAAATTGTCCTGGCTATTCCAAGCTCTATCATTGCAGTCAGCGGGTGTTGCAGTGCTTCAGTCCAAAAGAAGTTAAATAAAAAGTGTCTCACATGGCTCCGGAGGGTGAACAAAGGCCTCCTGTAGCGAGTCGATGCGTTTTTGTGAGAAAAATAACCATATTTAAAACGTAATAATCACTTTAATCTAGCTTGCGCTCACTGTTGTAAACGGAAGCAGTTCCGGGCGGATGACGTATGATGTTGGCTTTGCGCATGCACCGCTCAGAAGTGACGAACACGGAAACGCAGCAGAGAGATCAAAACAAAACAACGGTCACTAATTAGAAGTACAAAATAAGGATTTGTAAAGAAGAATGTCAGAGGATTTCGATATAAGCCCAGATGAGACTGGTTTTCCTTTGCTAAAGTAAGGAAACTTTGCTTCCTTTGCTCCTGTTAACAAACGCTGAACTCATACGTCATGCTCCCGGAACTGCTTCCATGTGCAACTGTTGGCGCAAGCTAGATTAAAGTGATTATTACGTTTTGAATATGGATATTTGTCTTACAAAAACGCATCGATTCACTACAGGAGGCCTTTGTTCACCCCCCGGGGCCGTGTAGCGACTTACAAATGAGGACAATAGAAGCAATCAAAAACCATCAAAAGAGCAATAATATGTAAGTGCTGTGACAAGTCTCAGTTAGCCTAACGCAGTACACGTAGCAAGGTTTTTTTTATATTATCAAGAAAACAAGTAGATAGAATAGAAAAATAATAGGGAACCCTTTTGTTAGAGGGTCGTTTTTAATAAAAATAAAACATGTCAAAATAATAGAGAATGCTGCTAGTGTTAGAGGGTGCCCTGTTAAAGTTATTGAGTTAAGATATTGTTGGCTTCATTTGTATAATGTATCTGGTCATATTATAATGATGTGTTTTGTTTTCTGTGTATATAGTTGACAGTCTTCAGAAGGAGACATTCTCCAGTTCTAGTCAGCTCTCAGCTGACTCCAGTGCTTCTGTCACACACCGATTGTCAGTGCATGAGCAAGGCCAACCAGCCAGTGACAGAACTGTGAAGAAGATGTTCAGCCAGGTGGATACTCGACTACAACAGTCTGATGCTCCACAAAGTGAAGGAAGCTTTGATCTTCCTAGCCAAATCAGCTCAGAATCCATGCCTCCTCCAGGTCCCAGAGAGGTGGTAAAGGAGGATGATGACTCTTTTGTTGGCTCTGGCACACTGCGTGAAATCAGACGTCTGCTGGGCCGGGCAGAAAGCCTGGTTTCTGGTCGATCCTCTCTAACTTCCTCTCCCGGCTCACACTGCCTCTCAGAGAGTGACACATCCCTTGTTTCACTAGGACGGAACATTCAAGGTTATCATGATGACACATCTCTGTCAGCTGGTGGGAATCTTTCTTTGCTGCTAACTCGCTCTTCTTCAGATTCAGCTTTGAAAGGAAGCTTGTCATCCTCCCAAAGGCCTCAACAGATTGACCACACAACTATAGAGCCTACCGCTCTCTCTTTGAGCAGAGAGGAAAGTTTGAAGTCACGTGACCTCTGTGTGACCCCAAGGCGGGCTGAACCTGAAGGCTGCAGTGCTGCAGACCAAGATAAGGCAAAGCAACCTACAGTCACATCTGCCATGCAGATAAATGTTCCTTCGATAGCAGAAAACCAGGACCAGACTGAGGATGCTGTGATTGGCTCTTCTGAGAATAATTCGTCTCATGTCTCAGCTGAGGTTGAAAGTATGAGTGACAGTAGCAGCGAGAGTTCATTGGCTGCCAGAGTTGCCAAGCTCCTGCAGAGTGAGTCACCCGTTTCAATGGTTACAAGCCGGCCAAGCACCAGTGATCCAGAAGATAGCTGTGCACGAGGTAAACTCAGTGATTTGTCTAAAAGGACGTTTAGTCATACACGTTTTGTCAGTACCAGTGGTGCTTTTCTTAAGTTGTCAGTGGTTTTTACTTTGTGGATAACTGGATTTGGTCTGTCTCTTTAGAATGGATCCTGATGAAGGTTTTTGGCCGCCGATGTGAAAGCTTAGAACTAAACGCTGAGGACAGACAGAGAATTGAAGACATCAAAAGAGAGCTTCTACTGAACACCAAGGTAACATACATACGCCAGCACAGAAAGGTCTGCCAATTTCATTAGTTTCATTCAATTTCAGCATTTTTTACTGACTTGCTGATGTAGGTCGATCTGTCTGCCAAACTTTTGACATCTCAAAGAAATATCACCAGGAATGTGCAATAAACTGGCACTGTATTGGTTTAAAATTTTTATTTGGTGTTGGTCGATATTGGATATTTAATTGTGCATGCTCAGTTCAGGTAATTTTTAATAACACTTAAAATTTAACCCTGTGAAGGCTAACATTAAATAATTGTAAGAATTTTTTTGTTTATTGAGCCTTCAGGCAAAAGATACAAAAACATGAGGCTTTTATGTCTTATATAGTATGGTATAGGAGATTATGGAGCTCATACTCACAAGGAGGAAGAAAACACCTCAATTTTATTCGGAGGCTCAAACTAAGCAAAAATATAAAATTTGGTGCAGTTGCTGATATTTATATGGCCAAAAAGTAAGATGAAAATCTGATAGCTTGTAAATTTGTGAGATCTTTAAAACAGTATAGCAGAATACTTATGTAAGGTCCATGAATTGGCCCAAGGGAGGTATCCAATGGTGAATGAAGGTTTCCTGCGTGCTCGTTTTTTTTTAGTGTGCAAAGTTATTAAATTTAGGTTAAATTCAAATCTGACTCCATTTCATTATTTAATCTGACTCCTTTTTATTATGACCTCGAATTTAGGTTGAAATGCAAATTGGTTGTTTGTCTGTTTCTAATTAGTATTCTTCTGACATTTGATTATTCTAGTTAACTCTTTACTTTACATTTACTCATTTATTAGGAATCTATGTCGCTCAGGGTGTATCACGCCGGCCAATACACGTGTACCCAACGATCACAAACTCTCCAGTCTGATCATTAGTCAGAGGTTATGACTAACTATTTAAAGGGATAGTTTACCCAAAAATAAAAAATTCTGTCATTAATTACTCACCCTCATGTTGTTTCAAACCCGTAAGACCTTCGTTCATCTTCGGAACACAAATTACGATAATTTTGATGGAATCTAAGAGCTGTCTGACCCTGCATAGACAGCAACGCAACTGAAATGTTCCCAAGTCCAGAGATTTAGCAAGGAGATCGGTAAAATAATCCATGTGACATCAGGGGCTCAACTGCAATTTTACGAAGCTACGAGAATACTTTTTGTGTGCAAAAGAAAAAAAAAAAACTTTATTCAACAATTCGTCTCCTCCGCGTCCCCCTATAGCGCCATTTTGGAGAGTATCCGCTGGACGTAAACAGCGTATGCTGTTCTGTGTCAGCTGCGTCACATGGATTATTTTACAGATCTCCTTGCTACGTTTCTGGACTTGGGAACATTTCAGTTGTATTGCTGTCTATGCCGGGTCAGACAGCTCTCAGATTCCATCAAAAATATCTTAATTTGTGTTCCGAAGATGAACCAAGGTCTTACAGGTTTGAAACGACATGAGGGTGAGTAATTAAAGGGTTAGTTCACCCAAAAAATTAGGCTGTGTTCAACCCCGAGGCATCCTAGGTGTATATAACTTACTTCTTTCAGACGAATTCAGTCGGAGTTAGATAAAAAATTGTCCTGGCTATTCCAAGCTCTATCATTGCAGTCAGCGGGTGTTGCAGTGCTTCAGTCCAAAAGAAGTTAAATAAAAAGTGTCTCACATGGCTCCGGAGGGTGAACAAAGGCCTCCTGTAGCGAGTCGATGCGTTTTTGTGAGAAAAATAACCATATTTAAAACGTAATAATCACTTTAATCTAGCTTGCGCTCACTGTTGTAAACGGAAGCAGTTCCGGGCGGATGACGTATGATGTTGGCTTTGCGCATGCACCGCTCAGAAGTGACGAACACGGAAACGCAGCAGAGAGATCAAAACAAAACAACGGTCACTAATTAGAAGTACAAAATAAGGATTTGTAAAGAAGAATGTCAGAGGATTTCGATATAAGCCCAGATGAGACTGGTTTTCCTTTGCTAAAGTAAGGAAACTTTGCTTCCTTTGCTCCTGTTAACAAACGCTGAACTCATACGTCATGCTCCCGGAACTGCTTCCATGTGCAACTGTTGGCGCAAGCTAGATTAAAGTGATTATTACGTTTTGAATATGGATATTTGTCTTACAAAAACGCATCGATTCACTACAGGAGGCCTTTGTTCACCCCCCGGGGCCGTGTGAGACACTTTTTTTTTTTTTGGATGGGCGCTTTTTATTTCACTTCTTTTGGACTGAAGCACTGCAACACCCGCTGACTGCAATGATAGAGCTTGGAATAGCCAGGACAATTTTTAATATAACTCCGACTGGATTCATCTGAAAGAAGAAAGTCATATATACCTAGGATGCCTCGGGGGTGAGTAAAACACAGCCTAATTTTCATTTTTGGGTGAACTAACCCTTTAATAGAGCACCTAATGCTTGTCATTCTTTAAAAAGTGGTTCTGTATGGCCCCCTACAGTCATCTATGTAACAACTTAGTTAAAGCTCAAACAAAATCAGAGGTTATGGCTAGCACTATGAAATATGCTAAAACTTCCATATAGGCCTGTCACGATAACAACTTTTTGTTGTGCGATATATTGCCCCAGAAATAATTAGCGATTAGTGATATTATTGTAATTTTAAAGACCATTTTATGCCATTGAATATATAATCATAATGTAACAGCATAATGATGCAAGAAGGCCTACACACTTCCAAATGACAACAAACTTTTAATTTTTAAGAATAATTAGATCATGGAAATTAAGTATCAAAATATTAGATACCTTAAAAAAACTTGAATAAATAGTAAATAAACATTTTCTAACAAAAAATGCAAAGTAACAAGTACAAAAAAAAGAAAAATGCACTTTTATGGAGATTTTTTCACCACCAGAATTTTCCCGGACCTTCTTTTCTCTGTAAATTAAGGGTGCACACTATTGCTGAAAAAAACAATCACTACTTAGCAGTCAGATGTCCGTATGCAAAAAGGCACAGATCCCTAAACAAGGCCATATCTTCAGATGAAACTTTTTTTGTAGAAGCATTTTTTAAATTTGAACTAGCACCTCATGACTACACCACGTTATGTACAAGAAGCTGCAAAAGACACTGGCACAAGTGGAATGTAAAAAACATGGTGACATTAATTTTTAAGTAAATATAATGGGCGATATATTGTGTCACCAAAAATTATTGAAGTCATGTACATATATTGCTCGATAAGTTGATATATTGATTATTGTGACAGGCCTACTACAATAGTGTTTTTACCTAGCCCCCTATAGTTATACTAACCACATAACAACTTGAATAAAGCTGAGACAATAACCAGAGGTTATGACTAGTACTATGAAATATGCCCGAACCATGCCAGTACTCCAATAGTATTTTGTCTAGCCTCCCATAGTTATTGCAACTGCATAACAACTTAATAACTAAAGTCAAGCAGTTAGTGTGTATTGTCAGTTTCAGAAGGTTAAAGTATCTGAGGTTCTGTAAATCTTACACTTACATGAAATGCATATACATTTTAGTTGTCATGCTGTCTTCTATTATATGTCTTATATTATATTTAAATGCTTAGTTTTATGATCAAAGCTCAGTAGTTTCAAATTTTAGTCAATCACAGAAAAAGCCTGATGTGTCATATTTGATACTCACATTTTAACATGATTTGTTAAAAAAAGATGTATATGAATAATCAAGTAAACTTTGATAAATCCAAAAAGTTGCTTCAGTACATTAAGTGTTCGTCTTAAATTACTAACAATATAAAAGTTATTCTTAGGTTTACATTATAAGAATCAACAAGAACAACTATAGATGCAGCAGGTTCTTAGCAAAGCTTTGATCATGTTAATTTTGAAGGCTAAATATGATACGGTAGGCTTTAAAGGGTTCATAATACTGTTCAGTATAATCTTTAGCAAATCTCAAAATATCAATTTTTTTTATACTGGGCATTATAATGTTGTGATGCCTAAATTTACCTGTAGCATTTAAAATGATTGCAGTTTTTTAATGAATTTAGACAAAGTAAGATTGTTAATATAAAACTATTATGATTATTTTAAGGAAGAATTTTAATATCCTAAATATCACATTCAATGGTGAGTCTGAAATAATACAAGTTTTGTTTCTGGTGCGGCAGACTGCATTATGGAAAGTCCTGATAGAGAGTGTTCAAGGTAAAGCTGTTGTTTGCATTTGTGTGATTTATTCTGTGCTCTCATGCTTGCAGTGTTTCTACTGAAGCTCTCATTTATCTACTTCCCACAGTCCTCCCCAATCCTAGTTCTTATCAGTAATAATAACACATCTTGTTCTCTTTCTCATGCTTTGTCTCTCAGTGGAGCTCAGATTCTGAGGGCAGTGCTCAGTCGAGTGTTGGTCCTGATTCTCAGCTGACGAAGGGCTGTGTTGGACTGCGTAACATGGAGAATCATAACTCAGATCAGCTGCAGAAAGTCGATTCAAAACCTTTGGACACTGTTCCATTTTACACTCCTATCCAACAGGATCTAGAGGCCAAAGTTCGCCAGATTGCCCTTAGAGAGGGGCTCAGTTCCCAGCCTTTTACCTCTATTACTATATCAACCACTCGCCGCGCTCCGTCTCCACAGTCACCATCACATTGCCCTATCACTGCTACTGAGGAATTGGACAGTGTTGGTCCTGACCATGAGACTTTAGAGAGCACGAGCCAAATGAGACTTCAGCCAGCTGTTATACCTAATGTATCTGGCAGACAAAAAGAGACGGTGAGAGAAGAACAACATAGTGAAGAGAAGAAAGGAGAAGAAATGACTGATGACAACAAAGAGAACATTGTTACGAACGATCCCTGGAGTATCCAAAGAATACCTCACATGGACTATAATGTCACTGGCAGTAACCAGATATTATCAAGTGCTGCATCGGATTCAACCTTTGACAAGAAGTCCCATCCCTCTCACATACACGTCACCTTATCACCCAAACCCAATCAGCAGTCAAATCCAAACTACTTAAGCAGACTATCCAGTCAAAACACCAGTAAAGATGTCCCACCTCCAGTGGTGTCAGGCATCACGGGTGAACATCTACAGCCCATACACCGAATCTCAAAATCAAATCATGCCAGATCATATGAACACAGAGAGCCAGTTCAAGGCCAGAATGCAGGAAGCGTCAGTGCACACTTACAGGCCAGATACCCACAAAACTTTGCTCCCTCTCAGAGACTGGCTGGGACATCCAGAACTCTCTCTGTTCAAGCAGGTATATGATGTACATTTTATATGCTTTTCAGTGGCATTTGGTGTTGGTAAATTAATCAGTTGATTTATTTTTCTTTATGTACACTTTCTGTAGCTGTCCCTGCCCTGTTGCCATACAAACCTCATGGAAGCTCCGAGCTGTTCTACATCCCGCAGGCTGATCCAGAGCTTTCTCCTGGTCACTCTGACACAACTGTAGAAAGCTCTCACCCTGGTATGTCACAGAGAACTTTACTTAGTTATTACTCTACAGCATCTTGCGTAACATTACCGGTTTATATAGATTGTGACCGAAGTTCCTGTTTTGGTTCTACAGCTACTTACTAAATGAATAACTAAATGGATATTATTGGATATTTGAGTCAAAAATTTAAAGGCACGAAACTAGCACAGATCTAAGGAAGTTGTTTGCTCGGGCTAATTGCCAGCTCTGTTTAGTTTTCATTAAAGGGGACATAACATACATAGTTTCTGCCAATCTTGTGTACCTATAGAGTAGTATTGCATCCTTCATATCTCCGAAGCATCTTTAGTGTTATCAGATTTATAAAAGAAAGAAGCAGCTGTACCGCTTCTCTCCGAAATCAATTGAGCTCCTGGAGGTGTGCTGTGGGTGGAGCTAAAGAGTCACGAGCATGCACAGCTTTTGCGTAGCGATTGTCTGCATGCGAATGTTTGACAACAAAATGCCCCACTTAATGAAATAAAAGTCCTCCTGGGAGCTGTGTAATAAGGCTATTTAAAGTTGTCATGAAATGAAAATTCATCCTTTTCATTTTCTAAATGCATGCTATTGATCTTATAGTGAACAATTTTTTTACACCATTATGTTTAGCTTTAATTTTTTTTTTAGTTTTGTAATCTTAGTACTTCATCTAATTTGAGTTTATTTGCAAAGTTCGCCAGGCTTCTCCAATCATTTAGTCTGCCCGGAGCTAAAGAGTCACGAGCATGCACAGCTTTTGCGTAGCGATTGTCTGCATGCGAATATTTGACAACAAAATGCCCCACTTAATGAAATAAAAGTCCTCCTGGGAGCTGTGTAATAAGGCTATTTAAAGTTGTCATGAAATGAAAATTCATCCTTTTCATTTTCTAAATGCATGCTATTGATCTTATAGTGAACAATTTTTTTACACCATTATGTTTAGCTTTAATTTTTTTTTTAGTTTTGTAATCTTAGTACTTCATCTAATTTGAGTTTATTTGCAAAGTTCGCCAGGCTTCTCCAATCATTTAGTCTGCCTAAACCCCGCCCCTTTATTATTGTTGACTGCAAGATTATATTCAGATCTGCCTCCATCCAAGTATCAACAAATGGATTGAACTAAGTTCCTTCCCTACATTTGTTTACAACATTATTTTATGGACTACTCAGTTGTACAGAGGATATTACGGATACGGTATATAGATTATTAGAGGACACATCATTGCTGGGCAATTCTTTAATTCATGTGCACCTGTTTTGTATCACAGAGCTCTGATATAAAAAAAGTCAAATTTTCCATACATAATCAGTGATTGAACATACATTTTTTTTCTTGCACCTCTACTGGCCCCTCCCCCCCGAGTCTTGCAGATGGTTCACGCTCTCACCCAGTCCTGCATTATTCATGGTCTTTGTCCATGAGAAAGCCAATCCAGCAACACAAGCCTCATCTGATTCACATGCCAAACCCTTCTGGGCCCCTCTGCTTCAGTGCTGTTTGCTCTCTGTTTGATCCTGCTCTCTCCTGTTCTTTCTCGCTCCCTCTGCAGGTTCTGATGATGCTGTCCCTCCACACTTCAATACAGACATTTTAGGCTCTAGAGAGCTAGAAGACAACATAATTGCATCAAAACACAAGGAAGGCATCTACAGTAAGAGGGCCAATATGAAGAGAGGTAAGATGCACATTAGTGTTTCTATTAGTATTAGTACAATATTTACTGAATTTAAAGAATAGTCCAAAAATTAAATGGTCATCATTTACCCATCCACATGTATGACACTATGCCATTTTTGTAATAGAAGCTTTGCTGTGGACTGTTGCTGTTACATAAAAAACATCAGCATATAATCTTCTTTCTCTTCCACTGTCAGTTTCCAGTGTGTCTGGAAATGGTCTTCCAGAATCAGTAACCACTTTTGCTTGCCAAAATGACAATACTGCTCCTGAAGCTTATGTTTTTGAGAAGAGCATGGACACTGTTGGCATAGATGAGGAGTATAGAGATGAGGAAGAAAATTTTGTCCCCTTACACATGGAGGCAGACTACAGTACAGATGATGTGCATTTTCACACTAGCACTATTCAGGAGACCAGTTTACAACTAGAACCACACCATTTCTCTTCTCAGCCAATCAGAAAGTCCTACAGGGGGGACAAGAAAAAGCAGGACAGAACACCTCATGATGTTAGCATAGAGATTAGCAGTTCTCTGGACCAGCTGTGGCGTCGCTTCAGTGAAAAATGGAGCATGGAGGAGACAAGACCAACTAATGAGGGAGAAACGTCACTGCTTGATAGACTGGAACGTCTGTCTCGTCTCATTCACAATACCTCTCTAACAGACCTAACTATACAACAGTCACACAGCAGGAAAGGAGAGTATTACAGGAGGAGTGATCGAGAGGCTGGGACCACAGAGGGAGAAGAGCAAAGAGAAAGAGTTCAGTTAGACGTGGCTCCACAACAAGCTTGGCCTGAGCATGAGGAGAATCAGGACAGAGTGCATCACTGTCCTGCTGAGAGAGATGAGTCTGCGAGTGTGGAGACGAGCAGTAGCCTGTCCACTATTGACACGGAGCGGCTGCTGCGAGCTTTTGGGCCTCACCGGGTCACCAGTAAGGAACTGAAAAGCAGTGACAGCTTGCTCAGACTTTACAACACCATGAATATGCAGAAAACTGGCCGAAGGAAACCCCGTACTAAACATGTTGCCGTCTCTGTTGCTACCCATGATGTGAGCACTGATGACTCCACGGTAAGTCTTTGCTTGATTGAGTTCTTTAATACAGACTGTTCAGCTTCTTATTTTTGAAAGATAATCAACAAATTAAAAAGAAAGATTTTGTTTATACACATCTCAGTATATTCTAGCCGTTTGACCATTTTAAATATACATCAATGTTTTTCTATTGGCTCTTTATTTTTAAGAATGTCTTAAAAGGATTTTTTTTTTTTCAAACAAGAGGAACAATCATTTCCACAAACACATTGTTGCTCAGTTTAGAGTAAGAAGTAAAGTGGAGTTAAAATTTTCCTGCATGGATTTTTTTTTTAACATTTTTGAACAAAGTATCTTATGCTCACAAAGGCTGCATTTATTTGATTTTGAAAAATACAGTAAAACAATAATAGACGAGAATTTCTGACTCAGTATGCAAAGACCTTTAGTCTAACATGGAGCATTTGCATTGATGGTTTTCCTACAGGAAGCTCTGGAGCTCCATCGGCCAGAGTTTGTCTCTCGTTCACGGGAGCGGATGAAGAGAATGGGGTTGCTGGTTGAGGAGAGGAGGTTACAGGCAGTCTTCAACAGAGAGAGAGAAGAGCTCTTCAACTGCCACGCACCATCACGTCCATACAGACCAGGTGACCTTATAACATAAGATTACTAGTGTGTTGTTATGCGAGTATTCAGTTCAGTATATATTTTACAAGCTTGGTACAGCTTGCATTAAGATGTAAACTAAAACATGCCCCTGTCAGCAGCTCCAGTACCCTGTAAACGAGTCGTTCCAAGAAGAGAGATGGTCCAAAGATCCAAAGAGTAAGTATCCATTGTATCATTTTCAAACAATCAAGATGGTTTATGACAGAGACAATGCACATATTACCAAATTGTGCATATATGGGTCATTTAACATTTAAAAAGCATTTTGTGCCTTCTACATGCTTTCAGTTGGGTAGGGATGAAATCGCACAGTCAGAGAATAGACAAGACAGACAGACTCAGGAGGTAATAGTGTGTGTGTTTTGTGTGTGTGTGTGTGTGTGTGCGTGGTTTTGTTTGAGTGTCTCTCTATCAGGTTTATTAACATTAAAAAGAGAAGCATTTTCATTACTTCATAAAAACCTTTCAGCAAGTTTCCAAGGCAACGTTTCTCATTTTCATTTAGTTAAAGTCAGTACAAGATGTATTTAAGAAGTGTTAAAGGTGGGGTAAGCGATTTTTCAAAAACGCTTTAGAAAACTGATTCGGGCCGAATAGCAAAACAATTTTGTAGCCAATCAGCAGTAAGGGGCGTGTCTACTCATGATGTGGAGGAGAGAGTCTGCGCTGCAACAACTAAAGTCTGTCTAGTACACTGGACAAAGCGACTGTTGAAAATAATTCGAAATTTGTGTCAGTACGTCATGAATAGAACACAGCAGCAGTTTTCTGTCAGGGATTTGTCGTGTCGTACCGCGCCGCATCCAGTGTAGACCATAGATATGTATATATATATATATATATATATAGTGTAGACAGCATCACTGATTATAATGAGTTCTATAGTACTTTGCACCACTTGCGTCCGGTGTAGACACGGTGTAACATTGGTTTTGCTTTGTTTCACAGAACTAATAGTTGCCTGGGTTGTGTACGTATGTGTGGGGCGGAGCTATCAAAATAGGGGCGAGACCCTTTTGGTGTAGGGGCGTGTTTTGATGATTTCAAATGTCAACATTGGCTGCCAGAAATCGCTTACCCCACCTTTAAAGTAACTAAAACTTAAAACTATATAGGCCTATTTAAAAAAACACAACAGAATTACTAACACTTTAAAATTAAAATTAAAGCACAAAATATACAAATAAAATTTAATTCAAAGTATTAATAAAAATTATAATAGTAAATGCAAAAATAAATAGTACAAATGTAATAGTCGGTGCTACTAAAATAATACAGATCTTTATCCAACTTTTATTTTCAAGTTTCTATTTTTATGTGTAATATCTGTGATTCAAAATAGGCCCAGAGGCGTAACGACTTAAACCGCAGTATGTTAATATTTTATTTGGATATTATTGATTCTGATAATTTTGCACTTTAATTGCCAAATAAGTGTGTATTCCCTCAGGAAATATGTTCAGCTTCCTGAGGTCCAGAGAAGAAGGGAAGAGGAAAGGAGACAGGCAGAGTACCGCTCCTACCGCCTCAATGCTCAACTCTTTAACAAGGTATTATTTAAAGGTTTTGGAGTAGGAGTTACACACAATAGCCCAGATACAGTGATATTGCCAGCTTTAAAATCAGTATTATTTCAGGTATACAAGTGACGAGTTTAATTAACCTTTCTAATGCATGTCTTCTTTCTCCTGCAGAAAGTCACTAATCGTGTGTTGGGAAGGAGAGCACCCTGGCAGTGATCCAGAATCGACTCAACATTTCCAAAAGCCTTACTGTTCTTTGAATGTGACCGGTCCTGTGGGTGTTTTATATGGGGTGATATTTTATAATGGTTGTGTCTTTTGCAAGTGTTGTTAGATATATGTGTGTTCGTATTTGAAGATGTGAGATTTTATATGATTGTGATTGTGTATTATTTATGGCGTTGCAGTGTTGGATTGTTTCATTATGACTATTATAGTCGCAAAATTCATTTTTATTATGTCTGTCTTTGCTAAATTGTAGGAATATTTTTTACGAGGTGAATAAATCAGCAGCGATTTGTAAGAGCTTTTGTGTTTGTGTGCTATTTAAGTTGTAAAGCGCAAGAAGGTTTCCAAAAAGAGAATGAGGCCACAATATAACGGTCATGTTCACTACAAAAAGATAATAGCTTTTTTACTCTAAAATGTACTTTATTACAATATGAAGTACACAGTATATTACTGTAGTGCAGGCATTACATGGAGGGCTGCATTATGTTGATGGATATCAGTAAAGATAATTTTTTTTATCCGTATTTCAGTTGCTCGCACGTTTGATACAACATTCAAAATATTCTAAAACCTTAACAAAGATTAAGGATTTTATGGAAAATAAAAAGTTTCCGGCTTGTACTGTATGGACCGACCGATGTGACAGTCTCCATGACAACAGGTGTACACAAACTAATCCTGCAGGAGCAAATCAATGAACGGTGCTGACCAAATCACAAGAAATGCCGATTAAAAAAGGAAAGAAGGGAAAGAAAGCAAAGGGGTGAGTAAAATACGTATTGATCTGCCTGTTTATTTCGATATGCCCTTGCGTTTGGGGAAAAAAAACGCGAAATCTAACGTTAGTCTTAAGAATTTGAAAAGTAGCCCATATCTGACTGCATAGATTTAACGTTACTTAATGCTTTTGATATTCGCTTTTCTCATAAGTATCTTTTAATCTAGAAAAGGAAAGAAAGATGGCAAGCAAGAGTCAAAACGAGATAAGGAGTCTGATACAGAGAGGGCTAAAGCAAACGCGGCTCTGTGGGAGGCCAGGTGCGACCTGACGGAGGGTTCGCGCGTGGAGTACCGTGAAACCGCGCGAAGACTGAGCAAGATCACCCAGCAGCTGACGGATCTACAGCACAACACCGAGAAGAACAGCATCGAGGTCATCGCTGTTCTGAGGAACAAAGACCTGCTGAACGAGGAGAAGGTGTTGTAGTGCATTTGATTGCTAAAGCTAACTTACATGACTTGACTAATGCGTGCTAGTTCTTGTCTTTCATATTGTGAAAGGGTTCATTTGTCCAACACTGGAAACTGTCATCGTCTGCTGACTTCTCATCGTTACAAACCCTTAAAAGTTTTGTTCATCTTTAAAACACAAATGAAGACGTCTGTCTGTACTTCCACTGAAAGTCCATTACACCAAAATGTTGATGCTTCCCACAGTTTATGAAGAGACCATAAAAGTAATCCATATGAATCAAGCAGTTCAATACAAATCTGAGGAGGCACGCATAACTTTATAAAATAGGTTTAATTTTATATAAACATTGATCAACTAACATATATATGGCACATCAAATATTATATAAGTAAATGTGTCACACTCAAGAACCAATGAGGTACTGTATGTTCTTGCACAAATACAGTAGAGCCTCCTTTTAGCATATAGTGCTCTATGTATGTGCATTGATCAATGTTTATATGTGAATAAAAGCCTAAATGAAAACTGTTCATCGTCATATGAAGTGATTGTCTCTTTAGAAGACTTGGATTAAACCGCATGATTCATATGGATTAATTTATGATCTCTTGATACATTTTTGGATGTGTCAGCGTTTTGATATAATAGACTTTTAATAGAGGGACTGAATGAAATGTCATTTTTGTTTCGAAGATGAAGTACAATCGTCTTGTGGGTTTTGGAACAACATGGGAGTAAGTAAATGATGACTATTTTCACTTTTGGCGGGTAACCCTATAAAATGTTGTTTTCTCAGATAATGGCACTGGAACAACAAATACAGCTTGAGAAAACAAGAGCTTCTCAGGCAAAGGAGAATCTGGTAAGAAATGCCTTTCCTCCTATGGAAAAACAGGGATACATTCATTCTTAGTTCTCATCATTGTGGTTTGAGGTATATTTTGTCAGTTTAATCTGTTAAAACAAAGATGACAGAAAATACATCAATAAAAATTCATAAAATCCTGAAAATACAGTGTTTGAGATCATACAGAATTAAAAGTCATCAATTTAAATGAATAAATACATAAATAGTCATTCTTTTTTTTTTTTATTCCATCTACACAGCAACTGTATGCAAGTCAAAGATAATGATAATGCCATTTTTGTATACCTAAAAGTTCCTCTTTGTGAATATTAATTTGAACAAAGGTATTTATTTCATTAATAAATGACAATATATAATAGATAATACTCAATAGATTAATTTTTATAATAAACACAGTTTCTCAAGTCCAGTGTTATTTTTAAAAGGAACTGATCAGGTCACTCTTGTACTCACTGCCTTAATGCTGACTGCTCAGCGTTTCTCACTGATTGTCATCACAGGCCGCTCAGTACACGCTAAAGATCAATGAGCTGGAGGAGAAGTTTAAGAAGAGATCTAGCGAGTTCGACATGATTCAAGCGGAGCTTAAGATCATCAATGACTTCCTTAAGAAAAAGCCTCAAATGGAGCAAGAACTCAAAAATGTATAATTCATCCTATTTATTTCATGTACACCGATGCAGAGGTACTAGTATAAAGTGCTATGTCTGTTATAACATCACCATCGTTTTGCACAGATGAAAGAAACTATGGACAATGCAGATCTAGAACACAACAAAACACTTGCAAGAATGGAGCAAAAGTTCTTCAATAATAAGGTACATACTGTATACAAACAACATTTCAACAAAATCTTCCTCATTCTCTCTCAGTGTCTCTCTCATTCTACATTCATTAGGTTCATCTAGAGAAGGAAGCTGAGCAAAAGATTGCTGTGCTTGCAGAAAGAGCTCACAATGAAGCCATCATGTAAGTATCTTCTCCATCTCTCCCAGTATCCCAGAACTACTACACATTTCTACCTGAGATACATTTTGCATGAGTAAAATGAGATGACATCCTCCTTCTTGGCCCTATTAGACAGCTGGATGACGCATCTCGCTCAATGTTCAAGGAGAATGTGCGTCTAAATAAGGCATTGGGTTACCACATCAAAGAGGTGGAGGATGTGCGGAAGAGAAATGCAGCGCTGGCAGAAGAGAACAACATCCTTAGTTTGCATAAGGTAACACACACCATAGATTTTTTTTTTCTCCGTTTTTTTACTTTTATTTAGCAAGGATGCATAAAATTCATTAGAGGTGACAGTAAAGACTTTTACATTATTACTATTATTATGCATTATTACATTGTATTAGTTGTAAATTATGTATACTATATCAATTAATCATTAAAAATTATAATTACATCAACTTTCTTGTGCACCCACACAAACACACATATACGCATGCACAAATTAAGTGAAATTTAAAATGATCTCAATTAGACTCTTGTCTGCTATAAAGCTTGCCTATGAAGGAGCAGACATTGATAATGACCACTTTCATTGGAATCCACAATTTTATTCATCCTGCAGGAGATGAGTCAGGACACCTCAAATGACACCATATCTAAGCTTGCAGCCCAGCGGACCACTGTTTCCGAGCTGAGGGCAAAGGTGTTCACACTGGAGCAGGCCCTGGCCAGCATGGTGGCTGAGTTTGAGTTGGAGAAGGCTGATATCAAGCAGCGTGCTGCAGTCAGGTCTCAGGCTGGCGGTGTAGAGCTGGACAAACTGCAGACGCTTCTGAGCGTACGGGACAGGGAACTGAGCCGAGTGAAGAGAATAGCCCGCAGCGTAGTGGAGCAACGCTCAGACATGGAGGTCCTCTTCCATGAGACTCTGAACCACATGAAACGGGAGATGCTAATGCACAGGTGCAATTCAGCGTTCATTCATTCACTCACTCTCTTTGCAAAAACAAACAAAAACACACCTTCACTGCAGATTTTATAAAACATTTCATAAAGCATTGTTAGCATTTTGAGTTACATATTAGACACCATATTGTCTGGTTTTGCTTTATTCTTTTCAATGAAAATTTCCAAATGAACTACAGCAGAACTGTGTTGTGTCTGCAACAAAACACATTGTTTCTTTTCTAAATGAATCCACGTTTTGAACAAATCTTTTGAATGAATGACTCAGTTACTCAACTTGTTCAGACAGTGACTTGCTACCACCTACTGGTGGTTTTATATTTATATTTAACTGATCGTTTAAAGGGGACATCAGATGCTGTAACAGTGAGGCTGAGGCCGCGTTAGAATCCATTTGCAGAAGTTTATTAATAGAAATAACAGGCAGAGAGTCAGTACCGTAACAGCAGTCCATTCACAAGGGAGATCCAAAAGGCAGAGACGAGTAAGCAAGCAAAAGGTCCAAACACAATCATCAGTCCAAATCAGGCTATCAATCCAAAGGGGTACATCAGTAACCGTAGAGCAGATAATCAGGCAGAATCATACACAGGATAGGCAGGCAGAAAACAATGGAATCGCCTGGTAAGGCAGGTAAACTGGCATTACTTCGCAATGAGCAAACACACAGTTCCTTGCTAAATACTGATCAAACAGGAAATGAACGCAGAAGCAGAGGGAGCGGTACACAGTCAGTACTCAGGCGAGGGCTCCCTCTGCTGGTGTGGCGTTACAGATGCCCATTTTCCACAAGTTGGTATGATTCTTTAGGGTCTTCATGAAAAGTCTATTTTTTTTATTAAAACTTCTCAACGTTTTTTTTACCCTGTCAAAAACAGCTCTGTTCACAGCGACCTGTTTCGGTTCATTCCTTTTAAATGCTAATAAGCTCTGCTCACCCCGCCCCTCTCTTCTGTGGGGTGATGAGCCGTTTTCATGAGACTGTAAACTTTAGCTGCAGTTAGCTGTGGAACTTGCTAACTAGCACATTATTAGGAAAGGTGATTTGCAAAGATTCATGAAAAAAAACATTATACTCACTTCTTCTGTAGGTGAGGCTCGATCACGAATGATTCGCACGAACATGAACGCATTTAGGTAGAGCGGGGGCCGCATTCCCTTCAAAAACAAACGTAATCCACTACGTCTTCAGCGGCTCAGATGTCAGGAGTAAATGACGACTGCTATGTTCATTATTACATTCAATAACAAAACACCTCAATCGCTTAGGAGCCATTCTTGTCTACACCTGCTCTGGCGTCAAAACAATGGCGGACTGTTTACAGCTCACACGAGCAGGTCAATGCTAAAACAGCTATTCCTCAATAGTCGTGGGAGGGGCCTTGGCATGTGTGACATCACTCTGCCAAGAATCTGTGAATGGCTTGATCTGAGACCGTGCTCATGATTTTTGGGGATTTAAAAAAAGCACTGGGTGGATTTTTATCATTATAGGGTGGTTGTGTACACACTGCCAACACACATTTATGTTCAAACAACATGTAAAATTGAATTTTGCATCTGATGTCCCCTTTAATTTCATTGCATAGCATATTTATATAATTGTAAATGCATTCAACCCACCTATGAGCTGCATTAAACAGTCTGTGTAAATACATCTAAATGCCATTTCAGATGCAGCTTCTGTGCCATATAATTTTTTCTCAATAAAGTACACCCCTAGTTCATTCTAGAAATAAAAGTTAACAAGCAAGAGATCCAGGCTCCATTTTACTGCAAAACCTTCAAACTATTTTAGATCAACTATATTATAAGCTACATTATGTTATCCAGACAGGAAGCAGAAGTGAATCGTAGCAGGCGGATGGATGAGTTCCTATCAGGCAGAACGGAGAACGCTCACATTCACACCATCAACAGAACACCCCACAGCACTTCCAGTGATATAGATGAGGCTGAAAAAGGGTGAGTATCTTATGCTTATTTTGTTTTTTTTTGACTATTTTTAAAATTATCTTCTGATGAAATGATAACTAAATGTGTCATTACCTGAATGATGCTTTTTCCATTAGCAAAACTGTCTGTGACAATGCTGTGTTATTTCATCAGCAATCTGAAGAAAGCCAAAGTGAACATATCAGAGATGACCTGGGAGCAAAGAGAGAGAGTTCTCAGACTGCTCTTTGCTAAAATGAATAGCTTGAAATCGAAGTAAGTATTTATTATTATTATCTTACATATTAAGATAAATCATAAATTTGTCACATTATATAGTAAAAAACATACATTTAAAACCCAAAGCTTATTTGCACTTCTCAGTTTATGTGTAACAAAAGCAATTTCATAAATTTCAGGACACTGATTCAGAGTAACACGTGTATTTTCATGGCACTTTTGTTTTCTACAATTCTGAAGGAAACCAATTCATGCTCCGGCTCTGACAGATTCTGAAGGGAACCGGTGTAGCAGCAATCCAGGGTGAGAAATGCCTACAGATGTGTATGGATTTCTGGTTGATAAAATAAGAGTGGACACTGAACAACAAGCATTATTCATACAAAAGTTTTTAAAAAATTTAGGTCTATATACGTCAGTTTAACTTTGCAGCTCATCAGAAAGAGAAAAAACAATGGTGGTGAATACTTTCTGAAGATTTTTTGTTCTGCATCAACGCACATAGACTCATAATTTGCAGTAATCTGTCTGTCTTTTCCACAGGAATGAAGAGGAGGAATCCCATGAATCATTTTTAACCCAAGCACCAGTTTCCAGTATGAGCTCCAGTGGAAACTCCAGGGCTCTGCCAGACCTGTAGATCATCTGACCTCATGACAGATAAGAGAGCTAAATAATGTCAAAGTATAAGTTAAATTTTGCGTATCCGCTATGAAATACCAGGAAATGAGTGTCTAAACTACAACTTAAAAGAAACCAAAACATTTTTTGACATGGCATTGAAGATTAGACATGAGGGAAACTGAGTGAAATAATATTCAGGAAAAACTTGAAATGTCTTGGCATAAATCCACCCACAAAATATTGCAAACAAACAATTCAAACAGTATTTCATATAAAAAAAAAAAAACTGTTTACTGAACATGGCCATAACTTTAACCTTTCTTATTTATGTCTTCTGATCTAGTTTTATAGCTGAATCGTTTCATAGACATTGAATTACAGCATAACTAAATGTAACTAAAATAACATTTTAGTGGGAAGATGGTAAAATTGTTATCATGTAAGGTAATTTTCCTACGAAATTATGTATTTTTGAAAATCTCAGAAATACTATAGTTTCATTAAGCGAATGAAAATGTACTGTATTAGTTATTTTGCCTACAAAACAAATGTGAAAGTCAATGTTGTTTTTAGGCATTTTATGTTGTATTTGCAAACATTTAGCCTATACTGTAAAGATGCTGCATTTTTTGCCGTTTTAAAGCATTAGACAATCTTTACTGATGTTTGTGTCTTTATTATAAGGCTTATATCTTCAAATGACAAGAATGAAATTTTTTGTCCTACTTATATTTCTGTAACCAACCATGTTACAAAAATCATTTTCGTGGACAGATACAGAATATATAATTTAATTGTACAGCAGTTGTACATTGAGTGATGAGCATATCATCAGTCAGTAGATCTAGAGATCATCAGGATGGCTTTACAACATGACCTCCCAGCACACTGATAGTGCTGCTCATGTCTCACAACTAAATATAGAAGACTATTAATAGCTTCTCATACACATATACAGCAAAACAGCTGCTCAGCGAGCAAGCAAAGACTCAATACAAACAAACCAAGATCTTCAAATCAAACCCTGACTTTAAAGGACACGTAAAGGTAAGAACTTAAGTTCAGAACTGGTTTATACTATAAATGAACTTGTGTAGACATTCCTCATTATTTTAAGCAGAATGGGAGATTTTCAAAACTTTGAACAAGACTTCTATCAGTCTGGATATTATATGGATGGTCAGCAGGAGGATGTATATGGCTATGATCCAGCCTACGTCAATCCAGACTACCATGAAGTGTGAGTGTAATGTCGCTTTAATATTTCATGTATTAATGTATATCAGCCAATGTGTTTCTGTGTGCAATTTAATTGTTAATTCATCATTTACTGTCTGATCATCAGTGATAGTTCTGCACATTTAGCAGATGAATATACCACTGCAGCATCTTATACTGGACAGGTGTATCAGCCTGTAGCGCCACCGGAGCAAACAGAATATATAGACTCATATGAGGAAGAACCACCGCTCTTAGAAGGTAATAAAAATTATTTATTTGATCAGCAGAAAGCTGCTTGGTTAGGAAGTGGCTTCTGTGTGAGCTGTGCTGCATACATCACTGCACTAATGATAATAGCAAAAGTCATGCAAAATTTTGCAGATATTTCTGTAATGTGATTGCACCTTAAAGGCATAGTTCCCCCCAAAATGAACATTCTGTCATCATTTACTCGCCCTCAAGAATTTTGGTAACCAAGCAGTTGCCGGTAGCCATTCATTTCCATAGTATGGAAAAAATACTATGGATGCCGATGGCAACATGCAACTGTGTTATGAACATTCTTCAAAATATCCTTTTTTATGTTCAAAAGAAGAAAGAAATTGATACAAGTTTGGAACAACATGAAGGTCAGTGAATGCTGACAAAATGTTCATTTTTGGGTGGACTCTTTAACACTGAAAACTTGCATACTTTAGCTTTAGAAATTGGACATTGTATGCATTAATCAAACTTAACTTGTATGTTGAATGAAAAATGTGTGTATTTTTTTCTCAGAGTTGGGCATTAACTTTGACCATATCTGGCAGAAGACTCTGACCGTGTTAAATCCACTGAAGCCCGCTGATGGCAGTATTATGAATGAGACAGACCTCACTGGGCCTGTTCTCTTCTGCATAGCTCTGGGAGCCACACTATTGATGGTACAAACTACATCCTGAACCTTTGTGAAACCGTTAACTAGAGGTACACGGTGATTTGTATTGCACAGGGGAAGTGAAAGCATATGTAAGGTCCAGAGCATGTACCTGTGGATTTGTGTGTGTATTCTCTTGGCAGGCAGGGAAAGCACACTTTGGGTATGTGTATGGCATCAGTGCTCTGGGATGTGTGGGGATCTACATGCTGTTGAACCTGATGAGCAGTTACAGCATATCCTGTGGATGTGTGGCGAGTGTGCTGGGATACTGTCTCTTGCCAATGGTGGGACTCTCTGCCTTTGCTGTTCTTTATTCCCTTCAGTGAGTATCCATAACTGTATAGAAACATTTACCATTTCTTTTGAGTGTTTTACAGCCACAACAAATAAAAAAAAACGTTTTAGACCACAACATATTTCCAAGTCTATTTACAGTTTCCATACATTTTTAAACATAAAGGTTCTTAATTGGCATCTGTGGCCCATTCAGACCCATTCACATCAAGAATGATAACTATAACCATAAATATATTAGCATCTTCACCTACACACTGTGGTACCGTCAGAATGAGAGTTCACAAAGCTGATAAAAGCATCACAATAATCTACAAGTAATCCACATGACTTCAGTCCATCTTGTGAATTGAAAAGCTGTGCATTTTATTAGCAAATCCGTTTTAACTTTAAACTGTCACTTTTAGCCAAAACACGAGTTCATAATCTGTAATAACGAGCCGTGTGAATTACTTGTGGATTATTGTGATGCTTTTATCAGCTGTTTGGACTCTCATTCTGATGGCACCCATTCACTGCAAAGGATCCACTGGTGAACAAGTGATGTAATGATACATTTCTCCAGATCTGTTCAGATGAAGTAACAAACATCTTGAATGGCCCGAGTGTGTGTAAATTTTAACCCTAACCCCAACCCCAAATTTTGATTTTTGGGTGAACAATTCCTTTAGATGCTCAAGTTCTTTAATACAGGATGGATTCTGATTTGCTGTTTTTGTTATCGTTTTTCAGTGTTCTGAAAGTGATTGTAACCAAATTTTTCCTCTGTGTCATTATCATTATTGTTGTGGTGTGGACTCTGCTGTTCCTTTAACTTTAGAAGAGTTTTTAAAACTATGTCTTGATTGTTATTGTTATAAATTATCGTGCTTGGTGTGAACGGACCTTTGACATTCACTGAACCTGTTTAATAAAAAGTTCTTTAGTAGAAAAGGGTTCTTTAAATTATTCAAATGTTCTTCACACTTATAAAAACATGGTTGTTTAAAGAACTGTTTACTGAAAACTTCTTTGGGGAGACAAAGAATAAGGGAACCTTATTTTTAAGAAAGTATCATTTTAGGTATGTTGCATTTGAATAACAAGTGGCTTTTATTTGAATGCAGGGGGCTCTTGGGGACACTGTTGGCCTTGTTTGTGATTGGCTGGTGCAGTCTATCAGCTTCTAAGATCTTCAGTTCCACTCTTGACATGAGTGGGCAACAGCTGCTGGTGGCCTATCCCTGCGCTCTTCTGTACGGGGTCTTCGCTCTCCTTACTGTCTTCTGAAATCTCAACTACTATCACTCTTAAGATCAGATGAAAATCCAGTTTGCACATAATTCAGATTGCTTGTCAAAGTTATGGCAAATCAAAGTTACTGTACATTTTTATCAGATGAATAAAAAACAAAATGCTGAAAAAACTTGAAGAGCTGGGTTAGCAAAATCATTTCTGATATTGGAATGCATGCATAATCTGATAGTGGATGAATCAAAAATTAATATTCCAAAAATTATTAACAAAAATAAAAAGGTTGGCGTGACTTTTTATTTTATTTTATTGCATTAAAATGTAAGAGATATGTATAAAACTTGATTACAACATGTTATTTTCTAAAAAAAAATAATCACAAATTCATCACAAACAATGAAAGGTCCAAATAAAGAAAAGGCACGTCAAACATAGGCAAAGAGAACGTTCTAAGCAACCAGTTGACTTTACAGATCCCTTCAGTTCCTTTTTTCAACAAATGCTTTTGCAAAAAGTGAATATAAAATATATTTACAGAACTACAATATACACAAATATTGAAAAGCACTTTAAAAAAAAAAAAAAAACATTGGCCGCTGTTCATCACTTTCACACGCTCAAGCCTGTTGCACATCCACCCAGGGTGACGTCCTAATTAGAGAACGTTCTAAGCAACCAGTTGACTTTACAGATCCCTTCAGTTCCTTTTTTCAACAAATGCTTTTGCAAAAAGTGAATATAAAATATATTTACAGAACTACAATATACACAAATATTGAAAAGCACTTTAAAAAAAAAAAAAACATTGGCCGCTGTTCATCACTTTCACACGCTCAAGCCTGTTGCACATCCACCCAGGGTGACGTCCTAATTTGTGACCCAGCATCCTCTGCTGCAGGACATCCAGGGCTGTTTTCAGACAAAATCTCATGGACTTTTAGGCCGGTTCATAATAAGCGAATCCTTTGAAAGACACAATATAGATTAATGGTGAAATAGTGTGAAACAACCTCTAATATTAACAAGTAAAAACTGGCAAGTAACCTTTAGAGTCATAACTATGAACAAAACTGAAATGAACTTGTTATAGAATTAGCCAGATAAATTCTTCAAGAGCAAGTAATATACAGGTTAACTACAGTAACATTACATTGGAAACACTATTTTTATACAAAAAAATACATATTAGATATGATACATATTAGATTAGGTATATTTTATAACAAAATTACATATCTTATAACCAAATTTCTTTAAAACTCTTTGATTAGAAGTTTCTACACAAATATAAATGATGCCTCACAAGTTTGAATTTAGTTTACATTTTTTTAATAAAGAATGAGTAGGTGTGTCCAAACTTTTAACTGGCTGTAACACTTGGTAACACTTTCACACTGTACTGTAATAATTCTTTATTATCTGATAATGCGTGATGCTGTATATATGAAGTGGAGTAATAATTTCCCTCTGAATTATGAAACTTTGTTGGGTGCTTCTCATGAAAACACCCGGAAATCAAAAGGAAAAATAAATGATAGGCTACTCTGTATAAAATGCCTATATTGTCGTGCTTAATAACTGTCATAGCAACAATGCACAAAGATGTTAATGTTACTTATTTCTTGTGATTTTTAGGTGAAATATAACCTGGACATGTTATTCTGTAAGCATAGCCTCTTTCTTACAGCAATTAGTCGGTCATTAATCCTGAATGTCTGGGTCAAGGGTGATTGAGTTTCTTTTCCCAGCTATTAAAAACTCACCCATCCATTCTCCTTTTCTTCTTTCAGGCCTACAGAAAAATCTTTACAGCTGTATACAGATCAATACATATTTAATATAAATAAGTAATTATACTGCTCCAAATACAACTTACCCCATACATTGTCGACCTATGAATAGAGCGCTGGACTGCGATGTTGTTACCCAGTGATGGCACTAGATGGCGATGTGTCTTCGAGGCTCTTAATAACTTCATAGAGCAAGACAATCCGGAACAACAACACGGAGGAATCTGACGGCGTGGGATCTGAACCAACAGATTATTCAACGCTTGCACAACTGAAATGAGCTGTTTTGACGTTTTATGAACTGGAAGAGTTTAGTGTCTGCGGCTGGCGAACTAGTGTTCTCATACTAATGCAAACTGGTGTGTTCAAGACATAAATTCATATAATCATATTAGACATTTTAACCTCAGAGCAAAATAACAGCCTCTTTTGTATTATCATTCTGTTTTCAGTGCTTAAATCAAATTAAATCCGTTTAAGAATGCAGTGAGCGGTATCGTGAGTTTAGACACAATGTATTATAACAGCTGACACTCGAATAAGGCATTTCAGTACTCCCCAAATCTGACATTTCTCCAATAGAAAGCTTTTAAAAAGTCTTTATAGATGTCATCTGTTGTGAGTTATATACCCTCGAACCGATTATAGTCCAAACCTCTTATATCTGATAATCTGACTGCTGTTCTCATTTTCCACGTGATATTTGTCTGAAATCTCTTCTGTGTTTTGATCAACAGGTTAAGATGTCATTATGGGTGGCACCTTTGGGACGAGGTGTGGACTGCCTGCAGTCTTGCTTTGTCTGGCAGCTCTCCTCTGCGCCAATCTGCTGCTGTATTTCTACCTAGATGCCCTGTATCAGGACACTAACCCTCTCTCAGCACATACGCAGTGCCCGCTTCGCCACTTTAAAGTGGGCACCATGACCACCTGTACCCCTTGGCTTCAGTGCCTCGAAATTCGTGCTGAGGTCCGCCGTGTGAAGCTCATTGGACAAGGGGCTGTGAAGAAGGTGAGTTTGGCTGCAACTAATGATTATTCTGACAATTCATCTTTCTATTAATCATTTAAACAAATGGAAAACAATATCATCCAAGATGTACAGTGGTGTCCAAAATTATTAAAACTCTAGTATTTTCACCAGTTAAAAAAATGGTTTTAAGTCAGTTATTTCTATCTTTGGCTGTAGTGTGTCAGTAGGAAATATCACTTTACACACTGTTTCTTGAAGCATCTTGGAGACGTTGCCACAGTTCTTCTGGTCTCAGTTTGTTTTGTTTCTTCATGTCATGTCATTCCAGATCAGATCTCTGTGTGGAGCACTGGCTGTTGTCAGACTCCTTGTGCAAACAAAGTCTCCCTGGATTATTACAATTAATGGCTAAATTAATGTTTGGAAATGTAAACTGATATTTCCTACTGACACACTACAGCAAAAGATAGTAATAACTGACTTAAAACCATTTTTTAGCTGCTGAAAATACTAGTGTTCTAATCATTTTCGCCACCACTGTAGTAGGTGAATTTCCTTCTTCAGTAGATCACTAAATATGATTTTTAGCTTAACCCATGGTCCTTGGTGATTCATAAAATGCAAGATAAGAAACACAAAACTAATACCTGCAGCTCCTGATGATATATCGAGGTCTTCTGAAGCAAAACGATTGGGCTGTTCAAGAAAATCAACATTATTTATAACATTATTACTTGTAATCAAGTAAATTATAAGGGAACTCTAATACATCTTCTGAGACTTATACTGATGTATGATTGTGTTTTCTAGGTTTATCTGTCCGAGTGGCGAGGGCAGAAGGTGGCGCTCTCCATCTTGTCATCGGAGCAGTATACAGATGATTTCCTCCATGGACTGTCAATGCTATGTGTCTTGCAGAGCGCCCACGTCGTGACGCTTGTAGGGGCGTGTGAAGAGGATGGTGTGTTTGTTACAGAGTATCACCCTCTAGGATCAGCACTGACGCTCGATGCCACCCTCGCGCAAGACCGATATCGCTGGCGAAACTCCTGGCATACACGACTACAGCTGGCCATAGACTACGTCGCCTTCCTGGCGTACCTGCACAGCAGTCCGGTGGGCATCCGAGTCATGTGTGACTCCAACGACCTGCACAAAACTCTCAGCCAGTTTCTGCTCGCATCCGACATGCGTCTGTTGGCCAACGACCTGGATGCGCTGCCTGAGGTGGAGAGGGGACGTCGAGGGGTGAAGTGCGGTCACCATGAGCTCACCGGGAACTTCGTTGCTCCTGAGCAGTTGTGGCCTTACGGCCAGGATGTGCAGTTCTCAGATGGAGCCATGCCTGGTTACGATGAAAAGACAGACATCTGGAAGATTCCAGATGTGACACGTTTCCTATTGGGGAATGTCCTGGGAAGTGATGTCATCCATTTTCACTTGTTTCAGATCTACACAGAGTGTAAAAGGAAGGAGCCTCACATGCGGCCGACGGCGCTTGAGGTCCTCAGTGTGTATCGCTCTGTCTACGACAGCATGATAGAGAGTCAATCACAGAGAGTTAGAGATATGTTGTAGAGCATAATGGTCATTAAAGGGATAGTGAAAATTCTGTTCTCATTTACTCCAAACCTGTATGACTTTCTTTCTTCTGTGGAACATAAAAGAAGATATTTTGAGAAATGTCCTTATAATGGAATTCAGTAGTGGTCACCAAAACTGTTTGGTCACAAACATTCTTCTAAATATCGTTTTTTGTGTTCCACAGAAGAAAGTCAGTCAGTACAGGTTTGGAGTAAATGAGAACAGAATTTTCATTTTTGTGTGAACTATCCCTTTAAGTTGAAAAGATAGCACTGCAGTGCAATGGGTTTTGTCATACTACATTAAAGAATATGCAGCAAATGTATGACAGCAACATCCAGCAGAGGATGAGATGCAGCATCTCAGGGCTTCAGATCTGAATCCAGCTTTAAATTCTTACTTATGCTGAGTCTAACTAAGACATTTTCTATAACTATACCTCATAGAAGATCTTCTCAGTTAAGTGAATAGAGCTTACCTTACTGATGCAGTGATTGAATATGTGGCGTAAGTGTGGATCTTATTTTAATATTAATAAGATATTGATTATTCTTAAAACGAACCTGCTTTGTGTTCTCTTTCAGTATTTGGAAGCCTTTAATAAATCATTTTCTCCAGAACGCTGATTGTGTTGTCAGTATAGCATGAGAGGCGCTTTAGAAACGCTGCTTCTTGAAGCTTTGAAACACTGATCTTTTGTTTCGAATCAGTGGTTTTGACATGATTGCAGAACATATGCTATGGATTCGAAACATTTCAGATGTTTCGCTGCTAGATGGTGTTGATCTGGTGAACCCATGTACTAATGGTGATCTTGGGTTATAACAAAGTCCATTTAAAATAGTCTTTGGTCATAATGTATAGGGCCAAGGCTAGTCATGGACAGGGTGATCTGGGTCCACCCAATCAGTACTTAGGCAAAGGCAGCTGTAATATTTATTTATTATACGATTTGTGCATGAAAACAATCTGAGCTCCGCCGAAAAGCACGATGTTACTGCCTCGTACAGGCGCATTTAGCAGATATAAGCGATTTTGCGACTATGATTACTGTTAATAAAGAATAACAATTTGGTCCCTTTGTAAATTCTTGAGAGGCGCTTTAGAAACGCTGCTTCTTGAAGCTTTGAAACACTGATCTTTTGTTTCGAATCAGTGGTTTTGACATGATTGCAGAACATATGCTATGGATTCGAAACATTTCAGATGTTTCGCTGCTAGATGGTGTTGATCTGGTGAACCCATGTACTAATGGTGATCTTGGGTTATAACAAAGTCCATTTAAAATAGTCTTTGGTCATAATGTATAGGGCCAAGGCTAGTCATGGACAGGGTGATCTGAGTCCACCCAATCAGTACTTAGGCAAAGGCAGCTGTAATATTTATTTATTATAGGATTTGTGCATGAAAACAATCTGAGCTCCGCCGAAAAGCACGATGTTACTGCCTCGTACAGGCGCATTTAGCAGATATAAGCGATTTTGCGACTATGATTACACTTGCAGTCGAGGTTAAACATTTGCTCTTGGTTCATAAATGTCTCGTGCATTTTTGGACTGAGTTTTGTTACATGAACACCGCTCTGACAAGCAGATGCCGCCAGCCTGTGGCGCTTTTGAGCGCTTCGAATCAGTGAATCATATCATGTTGTTGATTCAGAGATTCGATTTCGAAAAGCCTGCTTTCTCCCATCACTAGTTGCCAGTAAAGTGAAGGACTTTGCGTGAATCCACCATGCATGAATTTTCAGTCAGTGGATTCAGAAAATTGATAATCACAAGCACTTCTAATGGGAAGCATGTATTTTAATCTGGCTTGGCACATATTGGCGTATTTGTGGAACATATTTAAATTTAACACATAAAAAAAAATATATATATATATAAAGTCTTTTTAAGTTAGAAAGACTTTATTTTTTCATATAGTCTAAAAAGTCTTAAAACAAACAAAGAACAGAGATTCGATTTCGAAAAGCCTGCTTTCTCCCATCACTAGTTGCCAGTAAAGTGAAGGACTTTGCGTGAATCCACCATGCATGAATTTTCAGTCAGTGGATTCAGAAAATTGATAATCACAAGCACTTCTAATGGGAAGCATGTATTTTAATCTGGCTTGGCACATATTGGCGTATTTGTGGAACATATTTAAATTTAACACATTAAAAAAAAATATATATATATATAAAGTCTTTTTAAGTTAGAAAGACTTTATTTTTTCATATAGTCTAAAAAGTCTTAAAACAAACAAAGAAAGCAATCAAAGCTGTGTCACTATCCAGTTCGCTTTTAATTTCTGCAGAGAAGGAACCGGATATACGTAGTCCGTTGTATCCGCACACATCCGCAGCACACTTGTGTATGTATTAATGGATGTTTAAGCGATTTCTGCACACATTGCAAGACGGCCTGGCTCGCAGGTCCAGTGCCTGTCCGCAAGCCGCAGGAGGGTGAGTTTGGGTGAGCCTCAGAACGGGGCCGCCAGCAACATTCGCGCAACAATGAACTCGGGACAGCCGAGCGACAGCGAGGAGCCGCTGCGAGAGGAGGAGAGCGATGAAAACAGGTGCTCCAGCAGACCATCCTCTCCGCAGGCCGGCCGCGGGGGCGCCGGGACGCAGAGCAGCTGGAGGCTCGAGGCGGCCGCGGACGGCGGGACAGGCTCGGGGGGCAGGGGCTCGAGCGCCTGCGACTCTCTGTTCGCGTGGATTTGCAGGAGGACAGTCCGCAGGGGGCCGTTTGTAGACCCCGCGCGGGATCATTACCGTACCATGACACGGCTTTATTCGTCCATGAGCCCGGCTACGGATTCGGTGAACCTCAGTACACAAACCCACGGAGCTGTCTTCAACTTGGAGTACTCGCCAGACGGGTAAGTGTTGTCCCGTTGTCTCTTCAGTTATTCAGCACTTTTGACTACTTGGCATTAAAACAAATCAACTTTTTGCGATTATTTCCAAATGTATTCTTTGTTCAAACATTCATATGTGCTGGGACAAATGCAAACTTTCAATGGAACACTTTGCTTTAACTTGCTGATACCGTGAGCTAGCTAGCAGTCAAGTAGTTTTGCATGCATAAAAATCAAGAAAGAAATCAGTTCGTTTCGGGGGGAAAAAGTGAAATACTGGTTGAATTGGTAATGACAACCACTCTAAAGTCATGGGGAAAACACACACAAATGAATGACATTTCTGGGCCCGCATTCACAAAACATTTCATCTTACCACTAGGAGTTCTCCTAAATGGCAGGAAAAGTTTTTAGCAAAGAGTTTTCTCTTAAAACCTATTCACAAAGCTGCTGAGACAAACGTTGACTAAGGAATAGAGAGAAGTCTTAAGCTAAGAGTAAGAGCAGGGTTGACCTCCTTGCTATGGATGATGTCGGCATGCTTACTAACTATGCACACAGTGATTGGCTGATAGTCTGTCAGAGATTTATTCATAGACATATTTTAGAGTAAAGATAAAGGTTTCAAAATAAAAATGTTGCCACATTCAAATAAAGATTTAAAAATGCAGGCTAAGTGTCACTAATTAAACAAGTATGTGTTCAGCTAATTGTCAGCCTCTTACACGTATGCTTCTCATAATTAGTGAATATGCATATAATAAACAGCCTTTTAATTAACAGAGTAGAATAATCATGGCTGATAGAAAACTAAACTGGGCACAAGCACAGCTGTTACTTCTTGCCCAGCTGGTTAATGAAAACAAGGACATAATCAAAGGAAAATTTGGAGTTGAGATAACCTTCAAAACCGAAGGTGATACCTTTTATAAAAAGCTCATTATCGTCAAATATTTCTAAAATGTTTACGTTCCGAGGCAGATTGCCAGCAACAGCCATTTTAGGATAGTTTGTGACTTGGTCTTAGTGACTTAGGAGACCTCTTCACTACTCCTAACGTTTCACAGATTTAGGAGCTAATTTTAGTGCTAAAATGCTTTGTGAAATACGTTTAGATCAAAAATTTTAGGAGTCCTAAATTTAGGACTGACACGGCCATTATTTTTAAGATTTTCTCCTAAATCGGCGAGTTACGAGCTACTTTTAGCCTTAAGATGTTTTGTGAATACGGGCCCTGATCTTCAAACAGGGGAGACTAAATGTATGGCATAGTAAGCTGTCCATGTCTACAGTTCACCGGTGAAAGGAAATGGACACGTTTTGACCAGTACAGCTCTCACAAAAATCAAAACCTTCATTTTGATGACATTGGCCAATTTGCTGACGCATGAACTACTAGGCTTTTGAAGCATGAATTAAATGTTTTGGGTGACTACATTTTGCAAGCGCACAAACGAGTTGTGATGTAAACAGTTCTAAAAATTGCACTTACAGTTTACAGAATGTTTTAAAAAATGAGCCAAAGCAATAATTAAATTAACTAAGGCGATGCAATCAAATGTTTAATGCTATCTGTCTATTCTATATAATACATTTATCCTTGAGACTAAATGTATGGCATAGTAAGCTGTCCATGTCTACAGTTCACCGGTGAAAGGAAATGGACACGACCAGTACAGCTCTCACAAAAATCAAAACCTTCATTTTGATGACATTGGCCAATTTGCTGACGCATGAACTACTAGGCTTTTGAAGCATGAATTAAATGTTTTGGGTGACTACATTTTGCAAACGCACAAACGAGTTGTGATGTAAACAGTTCTAAAAATTGCACTTACAGTTTACAGAATGTTTTAAAAAATGAGCCAAAGCAATAATTAAATTAACTAAGGCGATGCAATCAAATGTTTAATGCTATCTGTCTATTCTATATAATACATTTATCCTTGTTTTAAGCAAAACGCTGTTTTTTTAACAATAGGATACATCTACCATAGAGAAAAGTTCTGTCCTAATTGACAAACACCTGTATAATGTTTTTTCTAGGTCAGTTTTGACGGTTGCTTGTGAGCAGACAGAAGTGCTTTTGTTTGACCCTGTTTCTTCCAGACATATCAAAACTCTGGTGGAGGCTCATGAGGACTGTGTAAACAACATAAGGTACATGTGCACACAATATATAATCGATCACAGTGTGCAGGAACCTCAGTTACATTAGCGAAAGATTTTCTATAACAGATTTTATGTAAGAACTAATTCATAGTAGTAAGAACCAATTCAAAACCCAGAAATTTAAACACAGTTGAATTATTTTTATTCATTTTGAGGAACACTGAATCTGTGTGGTTTTTTTTGTGAGTGAGCTGAATTAATGCATATTCATATTTATTTTAGAACTACAGTAACATCTTGTGATTTCTCTCAACATGGGGACAGGAGAGCAATAAATTGAAAAAAAAAAAGTAACTTGCGTTATTTGAAAAAGTAACTCGGATATTCTCTTGTAAATTAAAAAGCAATGCGTTACTTTACTAGTTCCTTGAAAAAAGTAATCTGATTATGTAACTCGCGTTACTTGTAATGCGTCACCCCCAACACTGGTGTTGTCTAAGTATAAGTTTGTTGGGCTGTGTGCGATTCAGGTTTCTCGACAACCGGCTGTTTGCGACCTGCTCTGATGACACCACCATTGCATTGTGGGATTTGCGTAAACTCAACTCGAAGGTGTGCTCATTGCATGGCCACGCCAGCTGGGTCAAGAACATAGAGTATGATACACACACTCGCCTGCTGGTGACGTCAGGATTTGACGGAAATGTCATCACATGGGATACCAACAGGTACATTTTGTGGTTTGGAG